ACCGGCAAATCCCGCCTCTGACTGGGCCTGCCAACCTCATCTCTTCTCTGCCTCCCGAGTCCCAGCTGATTGGCTGGGTCTTCTTTGGTTGCCCTGCACAGGAGAACAGATCTGGAAAGCAGGTTAGCGATGTGGGGGAGGGAATGGGGATTGTGCAGTATCCTTTCCCTGCCACGCCCACCCAGCCATGCCCACAGAACCGGTAGTAAAAAAAAATTCGAATCCCACCGCTGGGAGACAGCTACAATGTGGGGAAGAGGAGTTGCTAGTATTTATAGCTTTTAGCGATCCTTTTGCAGAATGTAAGTGCGTGCATGATTACACACTCTGTAATCTTTAATTTGGTGGACGTGCAGCTGTGTTGGAAATGTTCTTACCTTACCTTGCTGGAGTATGTAGATTTTTTTTTCCCCACTTTGATGTGTGCTGGTTTTGTGTGCTACCTTTGGATACCTAGGGGAACTCTGACTGATTTTCCCTGCTATTATTTATGCAGGTTAATTACTTGAGCCTGGTCACTATTGACCAGAGGCGGAAGTGGATTAGTGATCGTTGCAAAAGCGTTTCCTAGTTACAGTTAGGCCGGGATAAAAAACAGACCCCTCTCCAGAAACTACGGAGTGCAAATTTTCTAGAAGACACGAAAACATTTATCACATATAGTCTTCAGGAAACACTAAGTAATTAGTTAGACATTTCTTTTGTTTATACTGATTAAATGCATTTCTTTTTTCTAAGGCCAATATCCACTCTCACTTCTCCTGGCTTAATTTTCTAATTAAGAAAATACTACTTTAAAGGGAGATATTTGATGTCCTTTTGTGTCTTGAAGATTTGTTTGACAACACACACTGTGTGTGTGTCTGTGTGTCTGTGTGTGTTTAGTCCTTTCTTTTACATCCTGAATATGTGCTGCTACTATATTGCAAACTTAATGGTTGGTAGGAGGCAGATAACAGTAAAACCACCCTTGGAATAGTGCATTCAGTTTTGGTCGCCACGATGTAAAAAAGCGTGCAGAGAAGAGCAACCAAGAGGATTAGAAGCAGTGGTGGGATTCGAATTTTTTTGTGCTGGTTCTGTGGGTGTGGCTTGCTGGGCATGGTGTGGCTTGATGGGTGTGGCTTGCTGGGTGTGGCAGGGGAAGATTACTGCACAATCCCCGTTCCCTCCCCATCCCACTAACCTGATTTCCAGCTCCGTTCTCCTGTGCAGGGCAATCAAAGAAGAACCAGCCGATCAGCTGGGACTCAACGGGAGGCAGAGAAGAGATGGGGTTGGCGGGGCCAGTCAGAGGTGGGATTGGCCGGTTCTCCGAACTACTCAAAATGTGCACTACCGGTTCTCCAGAACTGGCCAGAACCTGTGGAATACCACCTCTGATTAGGGACTGGAGACTGAAACATATAAACAATGGTTGCTAGAACTGGGTATTTCTGGTCTAACAAAGAGAAGGACTAGCGGCGATAGCGGCCTTCCAATATTTGAGGGGCTGCCACAAAAAGAGGGAGTTAAAAGCTATTCTCCAAAGCACCGAGAGCGAAGGAGGGAGGGAGGGAAGGAGGGAAGGAAAGAAAGGAAGAAAGAAAGGAAGAAAGAAAAAAAAAAGAAAGAAAGAAAGAAAGAAAGAAAGAAAGAAAGAAAGAAAGAAAGAAAGAAAGAAAGAAAGAAAGAGGAGGGAGGGAGCGAGAAAAAGTAAAAAGAAAAGAAGAAGGAAAGGAAGGAAGGAAGGAAAGAGAGAGAGAAACACTCACAGGAAAAAAAAGCAGACAGAGCTTCAAATGTAGCCTTGCGGCTCCCATCTTAATGTTTGAAGTCCACCTGGAAGGAAAAGGGCTTTGTGCTAGAATGTCAAAAGCAGGAAACCAGCCTGTTTTTGGCAAAATTAAAGCCAGCCCAACCGAACCCAACATTCCATATACCTATATTTTCCAAGAAATGTAACACGTACTCATGTAACCATTTGTCGGTAAAGCACCTATTAATTAAACCCCAACATGCGCTTTAATGATATGTTGGAGAGAAAGAAGTGAGAACCATTGCTTTGGACACATACAAAAGCTGTCTAATTAAGCCTTAATTAAATACAGTCCTCAATAGCTTAGCAGGAATCCTCTTCTGCTGAGGCACAGGCCTGCTCCAGACGGGATAATGAAACGCTTAACCATGATTTACTAACACCGGAAATTTTTTCCGGTGGTACGTCCCCCTGATGCTATTCATAGGAGACCAAACAGAAAGGACAAAATAATAGCTTGAATTCTGATCACAATGAAGAGAAATTAATGAATGGCTGCTAGAGAGGATAATTATGGAATAACAAAGCATTCGGAGGACAAGCCAAAGAAATTATATTTTAAATTTTATGTTGGATAGTATGCCTTTATTTTGATTGTGATGCTTCTGGTGAAAGAAGGAAAGGAAAGGAAAGGAAAGGAAAGGAAGGGAAGGGAAGGGAAGGGAAGGGAAGGGAAGGAAAGGAAAGGAAAGGAAGGGAAGGGAAAGGAGAGGAAAGGAAAGGAAAGGAAAGGAAAGGAAAGGAAAGGAAAGGAAATGGATGAAGAAGGGAAGGGAAGGAAGAGGGGGGAGTGTAGGAGGGAGGAATAAAAGTGAGAGAGAGAATAACAGAGTTGGAAGGGATTTTGGAGGTTTTCAAGTTGAAATGAAGGAAGGAAGGAAGGAAGGAGGAAAGAAGCAAATATATGGTTGAAACGGGAAGAGAGAGGGAGGGAGGAAGGAAGGAAGGAAAGAAATACATGTATGTATGTATGTATGTATGTATGTATGTATGTATGTATGTATATATACTTGTGTATGTGTGTGTAAGGAAGGAAGGGAGGGGTGTGTGTGTGTGTATGTGTATGTGCAAATATATATACAGTATATATACATAGATATGTATACACACACACACACACACACATATATGCAAATAACATCTGTAAATAATGTGCAACAAAGCACCTTGTCATAATTATAGATATCCTTTATATTTCAAATATGTATATTTAAACTGATATCTATAATGATGACAAAGCACTCCATTGCATATTATTTATTGACTAATGTGTCCACCTTGCTCCTAAAATGAATATTCTAGCTGCCTAATGATAATTAACATAATGAAAAAAATAAAATAAAAAACCACCCAGGTTTTAACTCAAGATTAAAGAAGCATTAAAATTAATTACTGTTGAACAAACCGATGAGAAAGAGAGATTTCTCTATGTATTCTCATGTATGAGGCTGGTCCTGTGAAGCCAATGTTGGATTGGAAATGGAGACATCTAGTTCCTCATCAACTACAGAAGGTTCTTGTTTTAAGACATGTCAGATACCCAAAGCCCTAAGACTGGAAGGGTGTTCAGAAGAGCCTCCTCGATAAAGTTAAATAGCTAGACAAGAACCCAGCACAACGTAACAGGATTCTGCTAGAGTCACACCCTAAGTCGTTTTGAGCTTGGATGTTTAATTCTAGCTTCTTAAAAAATGCCCAGGAAGCAACTGGCAATAGTTCCAGTCTTTCTCTCCCTTGGAAAGAAAGGGAGGGAAGGAGCGAGGGAAGGATTGAGGGAGTGAGGAAGGAAGGAAATGTATGGTTGAAAGGGGGAGGGAGGAGGAAAGAAGGGAGGAAGGAAAGAAGGAAGGAAGGAAGGAAGGAAGGAAGGAAGGAAGGAAGGAAGGAA